AAAAAGGCAGGAGGGTGGTTGGGAGTGTATGGAAAGGAAGACACCCAGCATCAGCCTGCATACACATGTACATGTAAACACACACACACAAATGCTCAAAGGAAGAAGCTAGGTGGGGGTGGTAAATGCCTGCAATCCCATCGTGTGGGAGGCAGAGGCAGGAGGATCAGGAGTTTGAGAGCAGCCTAGGCCATGTGAGATCATGTATTTATTTGTTTATTTATTTAAAAAGGAGGCATGGTGGTATGCACGCCTTTAATCTCAACACTCAGGAAACAGATGTAGGTAGATCTCTACATAGAGCTCCAGGGTCAGGGCTATGTAGTGAGCCCCTGTCTCAAAACAAACAACAAAAAACCAGGCATGGTGGTTTAAATCTGTAATCCCAGCACTTGGAAAGCAAAGGCAGGAGGATTGATGCAAATTCAAGGCCAGCTCCATCTATATAGCAAGTTCGAAGCCATTTGGGGCTACACATATGACCTTGTCTTAGGGGGAAGCAAATGATGGAAGCTGGGAATGCTGTACCTTGTACCTGGAGCTAACGATCTCATGGTCTCCCACACTCACTTCAGGCCTACCAACCTCATCGTTGTAGCAGTAACACTTCCTGAGATGGGTGGGGGCTGCTAAGATACTTGAGTTACTTCAGACTGTGGCCCTTTCTGCTCTGGCATTCCCTCCTGGGAATTTCCTAGCTGCCACGTCAGCTTTGGTAAATTCGCCCTATGTATTATCTAGTTTTTGCTTATTTGTTTGTATTTTGGAATGTTTTAGGTTTTTTTTTTTTTTTTTTTTTTATGAGACAGGGTTTCTCTGTGTAGCTCTAGCTGTGCTGGAACCACTCTGTAGACCAGGCTGCACTTGAACTCACAGAGATCTGCCTGCCTCTGCCTCCCAAGTCCTGAGATTAAAGGCGTGCGCCGCCACTACCACCCGACTGCTTTTTGTTTTTTATTGGGTGCTGGAAGTAGAACCCAGCTCCTCGTATATGCTAAGTACATGCTGTATTGCCAAGCTACACTCCAGCCACAGCCTTACGTTTTAAGAAAGAGCAGACTGAGGGACTGGAGAATTGTTAAGAGAACTTGTTGCTCCTACAGAGGGACCAAGGTTTTATTTCCAGCACATATGTGGTCGCTCACAGTCCCAGTCCAGGGTACCTAACAGCCTTGTCTGGCTTTTTTGAATGCTGCACACATGTGGTACGTGTACATAAATGCAAGCAAAATAACTCATACACAGTAAAAAAAAAAAAAAAAAGATGAAGGAAGACAGGGTGCCCTTTGCTGCCCCATGCCTCTAAGTTTCCCATTTCTGTTACTGTCTCAGAGGTCTGTGTTGTCACCCCTGCTCACGGTGACCCTGTCTCACTGCTCCTGTCCTTTCTCACCAGGAACAAGATCACCATGATCGCTGAGCCTCTGGAGAAGGGCCTGGCTGAGGACATCGAGAACGAAGTGGTCCAGATCACCTGGAACAGGTTAGAAGGACTCCGTTCCCAGTGCTCACACTGCAGCTTCTTTGCCTGCTCCCGTGACTCCACCCACCCTCTTTGTCCTGGCTATGATGTGGGCAGACTGGGTTACTGTCTTCCAGAAAGGAAGGATCTGTGGCCCCAGGAGCCATCTTTCTTCTTTCTTCCAGGAAGAAGCTGGGAGAGTTCTTCCAAACAAAGTATGACTGGGATCTGCTGGCTGCCCGTTCCATCTGGGCCTTCGGTCCTGATGCTACAGGACCAAACATCCTAGTGGACGACACATTGCCCTCGGAGGTAGAGTAAACTGCTAGGAGGCTGGGAGCCTGTGGGAGCATTTGTCCTGGAGCGAGGACGTCACTTCCTGCAGTGTCCTCTTCCTTGTTGACAGAGTGGCTTTGCACAGCCGTCCTTTCCTCCTCCTCCTCCTCCTCCTCCTAATGTGGTGGCTGTTGTCAGTGAACTACTAACGAGCCCTAATGTTTCTGTGTAGGTGGACAAAGCACTTCTTGGCTCAGTGAAGGACAGCATTGTTCAAGGTTTCCAGTGGGGAACCCGTGAGGGACCTCTCTGCGATGAATGTAAGTCCACCAGCAACTTCCTGACTTCAGTCCCAGGATACTTGCACCTAGCTGCCTGAGGTGACGAAATAGGGATGGGCTTCCCATCTTTGGGACTCAGCAGGAAAAGTGAGTTGGGGTGCATTGGGCTATCCCAAGTCTTTGGTCAGCCTCCTCCCTGCTCCCTTCCTAACTCGGTGCCATCACTTGGTTCAACCCTAAAAATGAAGGCATTTCTAGACTGATGTTTGTTCTTAACTCCTGAGTAGAACCTGTGTTTGGTGTGCTGAAGAGAGATACTTGAGGGTAATCAGGCTGGAGTGGTTTATTGATGCAGACTAGGCTACTAGGACCACATCTAATTTCTAGAACATGGTCTGGACAACTGTTCAGAACCAGCACACAGACTTGTAAGAAAGTTCCATTGTCATAGCATGGCCTGAGTCAGATGTAAGTCCATGTTCAACTGCTGACTTGTTTGCTGCTGGCTTTGCTGATCTGATGTGGTATTAGTATTGTATCTTTGACTGGCTGCACTATGGTCTCAGTGTAGCAAGTTACCCTGCTGTTCTGCCATCACCCTGTGCCAAGCCCCAGCTCTCTCATCTCCTTTTCAGTGATCCGGAATGTCAAGTTTAAGATCCTAGATGCCGTGGTTGCCCAGGAACCTCTCCATCGGGGCGGAGGCCAGATCATTCCCACAGCTAGGAGGGTGGTCTACTCTGCCTTTCTCATGGTAAGCGGAGCTGCAGGGAACTGTTGGCTTCCCTGGACAGAAAATTAAGTGGAGGACCAGGCAGAAGTCACGGAAGGATCTAGAAGGTCTGGAGACCCTTTATGTCCTCGCCCTGTCTTCTCAGGCTGAGCTCTGTCTCGATCTGTTGCAGGCCACTCCTCGTCTGATGGAACCTTACTACTTTGTAGAGGTCCAGGCCCCTGCGGACTGTGTGTCTGCTGTCTACACAGTCCTGGCCAGGCGCAGGTGAGCAGCCTGTTGGTAGGGAGGGCACTTGACAGCAAGAAGCCTTTGGCTGCTTGGGGAGGGGGATGGGGAGGGGCAGTGGCTCCAGTTACTGCTCTCTCCACCTTGCCACCAAGCTTGTTTCCCACAAGGAAAGGATGGGCAGAGTGAAGCAGGGATGGGATTATCCATAGGGTCCCCGCTCTTCAGTCCCTGCTCTTGCCTTCTCCCCAGAGGGAGTTGCTCCTGTGGCTTCTGCTTAGAGCCCCAAGCCCATTTCCCTCTGCAGAGCATGTTCCATTAGGTCTTTATTGGATGATGCTGGGCTAGGATACACATTGCCCTTGCCTTGGGACCTGTGTACAGCTAGGGCCTTGGCCTTTGTCTTCTCTCTTAGGGGGCATGTGACTCAGGATGCACCCATACCAGGCTCCCCTCTCTACACCATCAAAGCTTTCATCCCAGCCATCGACTCTTTCGGCTTTGAGACTGATCTCCGCACGCATACCCAGGGGCAGGCCTTTTCCCTGTCTGTCTTCCATCACTGGCAGGTGAGGAAACATGGCCAACTTGGCCTCCCAGTTCAGCACGCTGCCCTCCTGGCCAGTTCCTCTTCTGTCCAGGTGTTCTCTAGGACGTTCCACAGCCCTAGAGAAGGTTCCTCCTTCTGGGCCTGGATCCTCTGGGAAGCTGCCTCAGCTACCTGAAATCTCTGTGTTCCAGATCGTGCCTGGTGATCCTCTGGACAAGAGCATTGTCATCCGCCCATTGGAGCCACAGCCAGCCCCTCACCTGGCCCGGGAGTTCATGATCAAAACCCGTCGTAGGAAGGTGTGTGTTTTTCAAACCATTGCCATCCCTCAGCCCCCAGGGTCTCCATGGGAGTTGTGTGCAGTTTTTCTTCCTCTTGGAGGGTAGTGCATTGCCGTTTGGAAAGATCAGTTCCGTTATTACTTGTTTAAGCAGAGCTAGGGTCCAAAGGGAACAGAGGAGCTATCGTACCTTAAAGGCACAAGTCGTCAGACAGTCTAGTCCAGCCTTCCTTCCCCCCTCAAGCACAGGACTGGGTGCTCCTGTGGAGCTCACCCTGGTGTCTGACTTCATTCTCTACAGGGCCTGAGTGAAGATGTGAGCATCAGCAAGTTCTTCGATGATCCTATGTTGCTGGAGCTTGCCAAACAGGACGTTGTGCTCAATTATCCCATGTGAGTGCTAGGGCTGGCAGCTCCTGCTCCCCACTGTGCCTGCAGCCCTGGACTCGAGCTGAGACCTACAGAACTGGGCCTTCGTGCTCTGAGCATCTGGGAACTGCTATGGGCCCCTCTGAACAACCCAGAAACCTCCATGCCAGTGTCCCAGGGAGGAAGGGGCATCTGGCCTTCCGGATCCTTCTGTGGCCTCTGCCTGGCTCCGTTCCCAAGGAACGGAGAGGACCTTGGGCCCAGGAAAGAAGAACGAACGAGAACAGGATGAAAGCGTTTAACCCCAAGGGGCCTGTCTTCAGGATTTACATGGAATTTTGTTTCTTACAAGTTCAACCCTAGCCATGGTTTGTAAATGAACAGAACATTCTGCCCTCTGCCTTGGTCGCTGCTTTCGTCCCCTCACCCCACCCTCTGCCTGTCTAATCTGAGCACTTACATTCTGGGGATGTGATTTCCCATGAGGCATTACTGCCTCTGCTCCCAGCTGTAGCAGGGTCCCTAGGGGAGCAGCCCGTGGTGGAAGGAATGCCTGTGTCTGGTCAGTGTTCCCATGAGCCTCAAGGCCCCTCCCCATCCCCCGCTTTTGCATTCCCATTCCAGGATGCTTCTGGCTGGACATGACTTTGTACAAGAGTTGCTGGGACCCTGAGAACTGGTCTGTCTTCCTAGGAGAGTGCTGCACTTTGAGTCTCTCTCCCTTGAGTTGGGGCCAGAGCCCTTTGGTTCCCACCCATTGTGCCGGGCCCACCCTCCAGCCACCACAGTTCCTTTGCTTTGCTCATGAGTAAGACACTTAATTTTCTTCAACATCGTTTTATTAGATGCTTACAGAGACAGCTGGGGAATTGGGCCATCCTGCCGCCTCAGGAGTCCGACTTCTCGGGGTCCTCTGACACCCTTTTGATGTAATCTCTGTACATGGTGTACATGGCACCTGCAGGAAGAAGGAAGGGAAGTGCCCTCTGGTGCCTGAGCCCTAATCCTTTCCCCATCCTTCAAGGGTCCCAGAGGCTCTACGCTAACTTTTCCCTTGAGACCCACCCAGCTTTCTCATCTCTCTGGCCCAGGCCCCAACAGCTGCCCCAGACATCCATACTCAGGGAACAACTCCTCACAACAGTTCATATACTTTGGTGTGCTGAGTGGTCTAGCCAGAGGTGGTTCTTATGCATGGGGAAACTGAGGTGCAGTGAAAGGGACTAGCCCATAGTCACAGCTCACAAGTAGCTGCTGCTGCTTCCTGGTTCTCACCTCTGGGGAAAAGTCACAAAGCATCCTGTCTTTATGTTCTATTGCCCAGCAACAGTGACTGATGGGAAGGCCTCAGTGCAGGGATTCATCAAGGAATTAATGTGGATTCTAGTGTGGGCAGCAGGGACTTGAACTTTGGACCAGTTAACTGAGGACACTCTGCTTTGTCCCTCTTCTCTCTGACCCCCACCCCATTGCTTACCGAGCATGATTGCGCCCACAGCACATGCCTGTGCTGCCACTCGGGTGTGAATCAGATGTATGGACAACTTGGTGGAACCTCGAGCCTTCAGCCGGTAAATCCTATACGCTGCTACCACCAGGCAGCCTCCTACACCTGTGGGCAGAGAATGGAGTCAGTAGGCCTGTGTCCAGGTCCAGGGTCCCTTAGCTCCCTTCTGGGCTTGCAGGTTGGGCACGGGGCACTAAGCAGATTCTTTCGTACATCTAAGTTTGAATATTGAGTTTTCTCAGTGGCATTTTTCAAATGCCTGTGACCTTCATGCTGCCCCTTCCCCATGTGCAAGAAGGTCATGACGATACATAGCCCACCTGAGCTCCTCCACCCACTCCTGACTCCCACCTCTGTACAGTCTTTCATGTTCTAGAGCTGGAAGGGAAACCTTGGGACAATAAAGACCCCTCCCTATCCTGCGGCTGCTGTTAGTTCCCTGTGTCCCGGTGGACTTTGCATTTAGTCAGCTGCCACCTCCAGCCATGCAGACTCACTGTATTATAAGTGTGTTCCTTGTGCAGTGGATGGACCGCTTGAGTTCTCTGACCTCATTCTTTAAGAGGTCCAAGAATCATGAAGTCCCAGAGAGGGGGCATCTGCCCCCCAACCCTGTTCTTCCCCCACTCACCTATAGGCACCAATGGAGACTCCCTGGTCTTCCTTAGGAACTTCTCAGTCAGGTTGTCTTCACCCTCAGGTGGCACCCACCAGCCCTTGTTAGACATGATCCCTGGTCCAGATGATAGCCGCTGTGTGCCTAGGCTTCAGCCTAGCCCTAGAAGGAGGTGGTCCGCAGTGACTGATTCTTGGTCTTCAGGGGAAAGAGGGATTACCTGCTAAGACCTTACCGTGCCCAGCACAGCCTGCACTTGAAAAGATGCCCTGTTCTCTCTCAGGTGTTTGGCCACTGGTGGCTACTTTTCTCATTCCCTAGCATCTGCCTCCTCTCCAGTTCATCTGACTTTCCTGTTCTCTCGCTTCCTGCTGCCTATCCGCATCCCTGTGGGTGTGATCCTCTGGCCAAGAAAAATAGCTGGAAAACCCAGAGTAGACTGGAACAGTCTGAATCTTGGGGCCCCTTTAGTCTTGGATCTGTTGACAGCTGCTCCTAAGGGAGCCACAGAGGAAGATCCGACTCTAGGGAACCAGAGCTGTTCCAGACAGACGCAACAATGGTTAACTAAGCCACCGGAGCAGATGTCAATGAGACATTGATCTGTTTTGCACCTCAAGACTAAAGGAACAAATTCTGGTCCTCAGTCTGCTTACCAACCTACTACCCCCATCCTGATATCCTTGTGAACCCCTAAAAATGTCTGCTCTGATCATAGCTAAAGCCTCAGTTCCCTGAGGAGGGGTCCAGCCAGGAGGATCCCCTCTGGGTCCAACCCCAAGACAAAGTCTGCCTGAGCCAGCTCTTCTGGTAGCCCCTGAGTCTCCAGCTTTCCCCGAGCTTACCTAAGAGATAGATGGCTGGAAAGGGGAGCATGGACAGCCAGACCAGCTCTCAGTGTCTGCTGCTTTGCATCAGCCAAAAGCTGATGCCAGAGTTGTCACTATGGGGTCAGGGAAGCAGAGAGGAGAGGGCAGGGCATCAGTCTAACCCCCACCCCACCCCCATCTGCTGAGCTCCAGACGCAGCTAAGTGAGGTTAGACCTGAAGGAGGAGAGACCTTAGCTAATGTCTGTGCACACATGTGGGAGCCTCTGTGGAGAACTAGAGAAGCAATGATGGTCCTGCCCCAGGGAAGCTACTTCACATATTCTTACAAGCAATAGGAAATAAGTAAAATACTAAAGTTGTGGGGTTTCTGGTCTTAGCCCAGCTAGTTAGGAGACTAAGGAAAGAGGATTTCTCACTCAAAGCCAGCCTGGGCTGCAGAGTGAGTTCATGATTAGCCTGGACACCTTAGTGAGTCCCTGTCTCTAGAAAAAGAAATAAGGTGTGTGGGTGTACACCTTAATACCAGCAGGTGAACCTCTGTGAGTTCCAGGCCAGCCAGGATGACACAGATCCGTCTCAAAAGTGTAAAACATCCTGGCAGTGGTGCACACCTTTAATCTCAGCACTTTGGGAGGCAGAGACAGGCAGATCTCTTGGGTCCCAGGACAGCCAGGGCTCTTGTAGAAACCCTGTCTTTGAGAAAACAATAGATAAATAAAAATAAAATGAGAGTTGAGGACATAGAGTATAACTCAGTGGTAAACACTTTTTTAGCAAGTGGAAAGTTCTAGGTTCAACTCCAGTTGTGAGAGGCTGAGGTTCAAGGAATCTTTGTTGTCAGAGACAGGGTCTCACTATATAGCTTTGGCTGTCTTGGAACTCAATGTAGACCAGGCTGTCCTCCAACTCCGAGAGATTCACCTGCCTCTTCCTCCCAAGTGATGGGATCAGAGAAATGTGCTACCATACCCAGCCAGAATCAAGGACTTTTCTCAGGAGTGTGAAACAGCAGGAATGATACTCACTCCTGTCTCGTGGCAGTCACCTGACTTGACATGAGTGTGATTCTCTCTATACCAGACCTGTCAGAGGGAGGAACTGAGCTTCTAAGACCAAATTACTTGTCCAAAGATGCACAGCAACTAAATAATGGTGTCTTAATCTGTCCCATGTCTGGCTGCCTCCGGGAGGCTGGCTAATTTGAAACCCTTTCTCTCACTGGACCATCCTGGCATCTCTGACTAAGAAGCAGCTGTTACTAAGCCAGTGGGACCAGGTCAGGATGCACTATAGAGGGTCCCCCTCCCTTCGAGGGCTTTGTTCCCTCTGTACATCTCTCTGTGTGCGTGCACGCTCGCTTGTGTCCCCAGAGGAGCCTTTTTGGTACTGGAAATGTGTCCAGCAGCTGATGGCTCTCATTTCTCTCCCTAACATTCACTGCCCTATGAACAGGCTCAAGGTCACAGCAAATCCCCAGGGCCTTCGCATGTCCCCAGTGTCCATGAGAACTCTCCTCTTGGTCATTCACACACACTCCTGTGCTGCCTCTCCATGTCCCCACACTGACCCAAGTTCTCAAGAGATGCATGGTATACACTCCCCTCATGTAGGCTACCGGAAGGTGCACGGAAATGCCGGGATGAAACGGGTCATGATCAAATTCAAATCTTTTTAAAAACTGGGACAAAGGGCTAAGTGGGTGAGAGAGCTTGTAGCAGAAAACCCACATGGCGGCTCACAACGCCTGTAAGTTCAGAGGCCCCTGTGCCTTCTGGCCTCCGCAGACACAAGGCATATACGTCGTGCACAGGCTTGCAGTGCCTCACACACAGACCTAATATAAATCAGTATTGGGCTGGAGAGTGCTCAAGATTTTGAGTTGGGGCCAGGCAGTGGTGGCGCACGCCTTTAATACCAGCACTCGGGAGGCAGAGGCAGGCGGATCTCTGTGAGTTCGAGGCTGGGCTGGACCGATAGCCTCCAAAACAATACAGAGAAACCCTGTCTCGTAAAAAACCAAAAAAACAAACAAAAAAAAAGATTTTGAGTTGGGATCCCAGCAAACATGTCTGGTAGCTGAAGACTGCCTGAAACTCCAACTTCTGTTGCCCTGGCACATACCCATTCATGTACGTGCGCACACACAGCAAACAAAAGTTTTTTTCGAGACAGTCTCACTATGGTGCCCTGGTTGACCTGAAATTTGCCGTGTAGACTAGGCTGGCCTTGAACTCAGAGTGCTCCAACTGTTTCTGGTGAATTAAAGTGCTGGAATTGAAGGCATGTACCACCACACTCTGCTAAAACCTTAGAAAGTATCACTACTATGTGAATGAGTATATGATGCATGTGTGGGGCATGTACATGTCATGGCACATATGTGGTGCTCAGAGAGTTGGTTCTTTCCAACTTTTACATGTGTTGTGGGGATCAAACTCTGACAGGCTTGGTGGCAAACACTTTTATTCTTCAGTTTTTGGGGTTTTGAGACAAGATCTCTCACTATGTGGCCCAAGATAGCCTGGAATTTGTCATGTAGATTAGGCTGGCTTTGAACTCAGAGATCTTTCTCTGTCTTCTGAGTGCCGGGATTAAAGTGTGAACTACAAAACCAGCTAATGAAAGGAGATATTTAGTGCAGAGCTCCATTAGTACCTAAGATACCTGACATCAACTTCTGGCCTCTGCATAGACACCTGTGCACAACGGCATGTGTGCACCCACACAATTCCAACACACATGCACATGTACAGTGACATGTGCACCCACACATACACAGAGCAACATGTGCACATCCACACACATTCTAACACACATGCATGCATACAGTGACATGTGCACCCACACAATTCTAACATGCACACACACAGTGACATGTACACCCACACATTCTAACACACATGTATGCACACAGTGACATGTACACCCACACACATTCTAACACATGCACACACAGTGACATGTACACCCACACACATTCTAACACATGCACACACAGTGACATGTACACCCACACATTCTAACACACATGTATGCACACAGTGACATGTACACCCACAAAATTCTAACACATGCACACACAGTGACGTGTACACCCACACACATTCTAACACATGCACACACAGTGACGTGTACACCCACACACATTCTAACACACATGCATGCACACAGTGACGTGTGCACCCACATAATTCTAACGCATGCACAGGAGCATGTGTGCACCCACACACATCCTAACACATATGCACAGGCAGAAAGTGCTGCTCTCTTTGCTATTGAACTATAGAAACAATGGACTCCAAAGAATTCAGATTTTTCAGGAGTCCCATGGTGGAGGAAGGGAAAGTCTAAAGTCCAGGTCCCGGCCAGAGGAGGAACTTACTGGCAGAAGAGATTCTATCCAATTCTGACAACATATCTGACCACCTTGCAGGACGAACTTGAGGTAAACAAGGACAGGTAAATGACATGCTGGACCATCACACCTTCACCAGGACTCTTCTTACCCTCCATCGAAACTGAAGCTTCATTTCAGTGCACAAGGATGGCTGTAGGGGCCATGGGTCCCTTTATGTTCCTTTTCTCAGCATGACCACACTGAGTAAAATTCCTTTCATCTTTGTGTGTGGGGGGGGGAACAAGCTTTAATGCTACACCTATAAATAAAGCAGCCCAAGTGTCCATCATTTCAGAGACTCCCCAAGATGATGCAGGTTCTCTTGGTGTCTGGCTTCTTCAGTATCCTCCAGTAGGCTAAGCAGTTTCCGAGGCAGCAGATTGTGACATCAGGGAGACCATGTATGGCGGACGCTTGCCTAATCATTCTTCTTAAACTTGCCATTGATGTAGGCACCCAGTCCAGGATCAGCCGCCAGTCTGTGACCCACACCACCCCCACGGCACCCATAGCACCCCACATGCTGACCGTGGGGATCCAGTTATTGGTTAGTTCCTGGGAATGTGGGCCCAGAAACCTGCTCAGCATCACTGCAGGGTCTCAAGACTCAGGGTCACCCTGTTCCCGCTGCCTTGGAGCACTGTACATGTCCCTTTCTCATCTTGTGTCTGTTCTTCTCTTATTAGATAGGGTCTCACTGGCCTGAAACTTGTTGTTAGACCAGGTTAGCCTCATATCCCAGATTTGCCCTCCTCTGCCTCTCCAGTGCTGATATAAAGGCATGCACCACTATGCCTAGCCATTATTCATTTCTTTAATAGGCATACCAGAACAATTGGCTGAACCTGGCTTGTTGGGGCTTCAGGAGCCCAGGTTGCTACCAAAAAACAAAAAAACAAAAATCAAAAAACCTCTGGGACAGAGACTATTATTATTCCCATTTTACAGATGAAAAACTGAGGTTCTGAGCCAGTCATGGTGGTACATACCTTTAATATCAGTATTCGGGAGGCAGATGCAGGCATATTTTTAAGTTTGAGGCCAGACTGGTCTACAGAATGAGTTCCAGAACAGCCAGGGCTACATAAAGAAACTCTGTCTTGAAAAAACAAAACAGAAAAGGAAAAAGAAAAACTGAGGCGCCATTGAAGGACTTATGCAAAGTCACAGTATGCAATAGAGAAAACCAAACATCTAACCATCCTTAAATCAAATTTCACTGCCCAGGACTAACTTGTAAGAATTTACTGCAGGGGAAGTCTTGAGATAGAAGAAATAAAGTTGCTTTTTTATTCCAAAAACTTGTGAAGGCTGTGGCTTGTCCTAGCATCCAAGACCCTGAGTTTGGTCCCCAGCACTAAAAGGGGTGGGGCCCTGAGGACATACAATAAAACTTCAAGTAACAAGTTTCTGTAGCGTCCTGTTTTTGTAAACAGATAAGATAAAATTATGACAGCATCATTTTTGTTAATATGCCAAGTGTTTAATAATTGTTTCCATGTAAGCACTTCTATGTTAGTAATTTGCTTATGAACCTTCTTTTTCTTCCAAATGAGGTCACGTTAATAA